AAATTTACATACAAGTGGTACTACATGGAAAGTATTATGCTAAGTGAAATGACTCAGAAAGAAAGAGATAGACATAGAAAGATTGCATTCATCTGGGGAACATAAAGTAACAAAATAGGAGACCAACACCCAAGAACGACCGAGATTAGTACCAGGAATTTTACTCCATGGCTTGGAGGGCAGCCTCACGTGCTAGGGGAAAAGAAAGCTCAGATAGAGAAGAGAGCACCAAATAAAGGGTGTTGTGAGGACCCTCCCAGGATGGGAGAAGTATGCTGAAAGTAGATTATAGACCAAACCTGATTGTCACCCATTGCCTCTTTTGCAAACCACAACACCCAATAAGAGAGAGAGAACAAAAGGGAATGCCCTGCCACAGAGAGAGGGTGGGATGGGGGTGGGGGGAATGGGGGGGGGAGGGATACTAGGATCTGTGGTGGTGGGAAATGGGCACTGGTGGAGGGATGGGTGTTTGATCATTGTACAATTGAAACCCAAGCACAAAAATTTGTAAGTCTACAACTGTACCTCGTGATGTCTCACTAATAAAAACAAACAAAAAAATAAAGCACCATCATTAATCTGAGAAGATATGCATAAAATTACATATTCAGTTACATATTCTAAGCATCAGTGAAGTCCAGCACCTCATGTGACTTTATAAACAGACCTGTTTAACAGCTCCTGTTATTGAACAAAAATAAGGTTAAATAGGAATGTTTAAGAAATAATAAAGCCAATAAAACAGAGAAATTAGTCTTTACACTGAAATTATTCTTTATACCTTATTTATATAAAAAAATTTTAAATGCATTTTTCTGAGATTAGTTTTCATTATACAAAACAAAATAGGTTTCATATAATAAAAACAAACTGAGTGTATGTAAATTTTAGCTATCTAATTAATTTCTACCCTTTGAGTAATACTATTTCCCAATTTAATTCTGGTTTCTCATCACTGTTATTCCAGGCAGAGAATCAAATAGCAATATTTTAACAGTAAGATTCTTCACATTTGAAATTTTTCAGGAAGAGCTTACACTTACATTTATGTGTATCTTAAATACTCTATTGTCTACAGATTTCAGAATTTAAAAGGTTATCATTAATTGTCAATGTTTTTAGTTTGCTTTCCTTTGGAAAAATACTCCATTTTCTCTTTATACTCAAAATACTCTTTTTCTATTTTTTATATAGATATTTTTTTCTCATGTCTTCATATTCAAAAATATGTTATTAGCTTCATGTTATTTCCTACTTTCAGCTAGAAAAAAAATTAATCCGTAACTGTAGTTACTAACAACATATATAGCTTTTATGTTTATGTACAAAATAAGAGTTCTAAATTATTTACATTATCCAATTATATTTTCTTTTTCCAAATTCTTAGTATTACCTATGAGTTGACCTCAAGCCCTCAAACCCCAGTAATTACAAAAAATTGTTCTAAAATTACCAAAAAACAGTAATGATTCCATTTAGATAGAATAGTGTTGAATTGGTAGTAGTAAAGATAATTCACAGAGAAATTTCTTACTTCAAAAGAACAGACTGCATGTTCTAGAGAAAAGAAAGGAAGAGAGGAGATAAAGATGAAAAGAGAAAGAAATAATGCAATTGAGGTCAGGTTCATGAAAACTTATTGTCTAAGAATCAAGTTTTAAAAAAGAAGGGAGAAAAGTCTGTGCAAAGACTTGTCCAAGGCTAAAATTGAAGAAAATTAAACAGAAGATCACCATTAAAATAAAAAATGCAAATCATAAAACTGTAGCAGCCGACCCAGGTTCGATTCCTCCGCCCCTTTTGGAGAGCCTGGCAAGCTACCAAGAGTATCACACCTGCACAGCCAAGTCTGGCAAACTACCTGTGACTTATTCAATATGCCAAACACAGTAACAAGTCTCACAATGTTACTGGGCCTGCTTGAGCAAATCGATGAACAACGGGAGGATAGTGACAGTGACATCTAATGAGGGACTACTATTTAGAACATAGAAAGCATTCCCATAACTCATATCAGAAGATAAACAGACCAATTAAAAGATACAAAAGGACAATTAGCTTTGAATTGGTTTGGTATTTGCTTATACCTCCCCAGGCATTCTTTTACTCGTGTGCTTAAATTATATGTCATTTAAATGGCATGTAAGTGTCTATTCCTGGACATAAACAAAGGAATGTTTACAAGAACAAAAAATGACCTTCTAGGCAGAGAATTCTTGTTCTAAGACAAAAAAGCATCTGAGCAGAGACCTCCCCTCTCACCTACAGCCAGAAAAACACTGACCCCCAGAAAGGCTGCTCAGCAACAGATCTCACGCGCCCTGGCCACCACAGAGCTGACAACTCCCTTGTGCACCATCAATCAATAACCAGGCCGGAGGGGCAGTAACGGGATGAGTCACACGCTTTGCTTGCCCTGAACCTGGGTTTGATCCCAGGTACCACATGATATCAAGAGCCTCACCAGCTGTGGGCTGAAAGCCCTCAAGTCCCACCGGGTGGTGCTGTGGCTCCTGGCACTGCAGGGATCCATTCTCAGGCCCTATCACCGAACTTAGTTGACTGAGTACTCCAGGAGCAGCACCAAGATCTCCGAAGCACTGTGTGGTGGCCCTCCCCTGAAAAAAAATAAATGACCCAAGACACTTCAGGTTTGGGATTCCCCCCCTAACCTGCGTCACCCTGAAGGCGATCACATTTCCCAGCTGACATGAAAGGATGGAAGGGGGTTGACATCCAATTCCAGCCAATGGGATTGAGTTTCCCAGGAAAGACCTCCTCCCACTGCCCTTTCAATCAAATAAGCTTCCTTCCAGAGGGGATCAAAACTAGCATCTGAGTCACTCTTGGCAGCTGCCTGCTCCTATAACTCTAGCACAGTGTCCTTCCGCCTCCTCTACTTTCAGTAAACTCACTTGGTGTTTGAAAATGACAGGAGCAGTCATCAATTCTTTGTATGTATTTTGCGCCAACAACCAATTCTTTCCCCAACAATGTGATGCAGCAATTTTACACCCAAATTTGAAAAATGGCCTCAAAACCCTTGAATATAAACAAATGTTCAGAGCATTGAGAGCACTGGTCTTTGTGCACGCAGTGAGTTAATTTTTAAAACTTGATATATCCAGACACACAAACGAATCTCGGACCTGAGCAACTTGCTGCAGAGATGGCCCCGGACTTTGCAATAGGCCGTTTCCACTGGGCTGCTCAGAGGGGGGTAGGTGTTGTCCCTCCGCCTGCCCTCTAGGAGCTCCAGCAGTCGCTATTTTCTAGAAGTCAGCCAGAAGCTCCAGGTACCAGCAGCAGTGGCAGAAAATCCCAAGCCTCATGGAACAGGGGAGGAGTGGGCCCTTCTCCACCCCCCCACCCCCCACCCGACGGAACTCCGAGATGATGCCATATCTGGCCACTGTCTACTTAAGCTCCTACATGGCCACGATCCAGGGACACACAAACAAATCTAGGACCCAAACAACTTGCTGCAGTGATCTCTTCAGATCCTAATTATTAAAAGTTTGGATCCCTAGAGCTCGTGGCTACTCTCTGGCTACACGACATTATATTGTATCCATAACAAGCAATACAAAACACATTGTCTAACATCGCATTTTCGGCAAGTACGAGGGGTAGTGGGGCTGGTCTCGAAATATCAAAGGTAACTAAAGTAGAGAAAGAGAGTATTGTGCAAATTGTCTGCCACACAGGTAGGGAGAGGTGTGGGGGGTGGGGGATACTGGGGATTTTGGTGGTGGAAAATGGGCACTGGTGAAGGGATGGGTGTTTGACAACTGTATGATTGAAGCTCAAACATGAAAGTTTTGTTACTGTACCTCACGGTGAATCAATAAAATTTAAAAATTTAAAAAAAAACTTGATACATATATATGTCATATATAGACAAGCAGTGAGAGAATAGAAATAAAAAGATTAAAGGACCGAGTCACTATGTTTAATTTTTTTAAATAAATTAAAAAACATGTAAACAAATGGGTGATTTGTTTACACGCAAATTTGTTAAGGAATTTAAGGGAATTCATGAATTAAAAACTCTTTCATAGCCCCAAGTTAATAACTTCTGGACTAAGACACAAATAAAGACCAAAAAAAAAAACCCTGATTTAAAAACAATGGCATCAAACCATATTTTCTATGATCAGCAATTAATTCAGCCAGAATATGGACTAACATTCTTCATATAAAAAAGCATCTTGTCTTGAGTCTTAAAATCATGAGTGATTTTATTAACTTTACCAGAATAATAAAAAATAAGTATCACTTCAAACATACATGGGTCTCCTAAAAAATTTATCATGCAAATAGTCAACTGTATCAGGAATTCCAAAAGGAAAAAGAGGAGAGAGAGAGAGAGAGAGAGAGAGAGAGAGAGAGAGAGAGAGAGAGAGGAGGAAGAGAGCCTGCTGTAGGGGCAGACTGGGAGTGGAGGGGAGGGGAGGGGGAGCAGGAGGAAAGCTGGGGACACTGGTGGTGGGAAATTTACACTGGTGAAGGGAAGGGCATTGGAATGTTCTAGGACCTAAACCCAATCATGAACAACTTTGTAACCGTATCTCTCAAAGTGATATAATTTTTTTAATATGATACATACGCAATAGGATACTACTCAACTATAAAACAGATGAAATCTTGCTAATATAATTTCACTATGACCTTGGATGGAACTGGAGAGTGCAATGTCAAGCAAAGTCAGCAGGACAAGGACAGAGAGCTGTATAATCTCACTCTATGTGAAATATAAATAAACAAAGCAAAGAAATGGACAATGGTCAATAAAACAAACTCTGGAATTCGGTCTTCAAGACTGAGTTTGCTAAGAAGGGGTGGGTAGGGGAGAGGGAAAAGAATGGACCGAGGCAGCGGGGGAGGTACACCAGCACATTGGTACAGTGTGTGCACAATGTCATCATATGACCAAAACACTGACGTTAAGACAATCATAAAGCGCAATGCTTACATTTTTCTAAAAGATGTCTTACCTATAGTTTGGAACACTTCATTCATCAAAGCTTCATTTATTTCCAAAGAGTTGACATTTCCAATATGACACCAACTTTGATATATCGCTTGCAGCAGAAGTGTCTGTGCTCTTGTACCCTGAATTGTGAGATTTGGAAGTTCAAATATACCCTCAGTTACAGGAATCTGAGATCTTTTGGTCCTGCAGGAAAAAATAACAACAATAAAGAGCATTCAGTATGTTATTTGCAAACAACAACATACCAAGATTATAAGGAGGATATATGTATTTTAATATATTTAAAATATTTTAATGTAAATGTTCATAAATAAAATAACAGATATGCAATTCTAACTTTAAGCAACTTTTTCTATTTCAAAACCTCTTACAATAAAAATACAAACAAGAATATGTATGCATACACATGACAAATATCCTGCTTACTTATAATTTCTCGATCTCATAACCATTATAAGTAATAATGTAAACAGTTTACGCTGAGAGGAAGAACTATGTTATTCCAAATATAGCTATAAACTCCCATAATTTTCTTCTACAACTATTCTAAAGAAAGTACTACCATTATGTCACTTTTCAAGTGAAAGCAAGTCACAAAAATATAGTTTCAATGTCATACAACTGTCACTGTCACTGTCCTCCCATTGTTCATCGATTTGCTCGAGCAGGCCCAGTAACGTCTTCATTTTGAGACTTGTTCTTAGTGTGTTTGGCATACTGAATACGTCACGGGTAGCTTGCAGGCTCTCCAAGAGGGACGGAGGAATTGAACCTGGGTCAGTCGGGTCAGCCGCCTACAAGGCAAATGCCCTACCCGCTGTGCTATCACTCCAGCCCTGTCGTCCCGTTGTTCATCGATTTACTAGAGCAGGCACCAGTAACGTCTCCATGCATCCGAGCCCTGAGATTTTAGCAGCCTCTCCTTACTCGTCTTTCCCAGCCGTCGTATTGGAGGCTCTTTCAGGCTCAGGGGAATGAGACACGTTATTACTCGTTGTTACTGTTTTCAGCATATTAAATATACTGCACCAGGCTATTTTCGCTCGGGGTGCCCCAGAGGGGAGGCAGATGAGAGCCCTCCTGGCCGCAAGGGACCTTGCCCTGGCAGCCAACTCCACTACCCAACCACCACCATGCTCCAGGCCACTTTCCACACGCTTGGGCCAAGCCTCACGCAGGAGTGAAGTCCCACAGAACCCAGGTAATGCGGAACTTTGTGACCTTGGACTCTGGGCCCAATGGGTCCCAGGAGCAGAGATCCTCTGCCCACTTCCCCCAGTCTCCAGCGACCCAGGGGTCATACCCATAAGCCACCTCCTGCCAGCACTAGATAATCTCCTCATTGGCCACCCTCCAGAACCCATGGCTGCTTCTCCCGGAAGGAAGCATAAAATGAGGCCTCCATAACCATGCCACCGGACTCACCACCAGGCTGTTTTCACTCGGGGCGCCCCAGAGGGAGGAAGGTGAGAGCCCTACCTACCCCAAGGGACCCAGCTTTGGCAGCCAACCGCCGCCATGCTCCAGGCTGCTTTCCACACGCTAGGGCAGAGCCTCACATATGAGTGAACATATTCCTGGACACATCCTAAGACACTCCCTACCCATTTTCCATAATTATCACACCATATCTGATGGGGTTCAGACAGTAGGCAACAAATCATAGAGGGAATATACATACACATACACATACACATACACATACACATACACATACACATACACATATACATATACGCCTCTTGGAGAGCCTGGCAAGCTACCAAGAATATACTGCCCACACAGCAGAGCCTGGCAAGTCAAAATATAAGAATTTAAAACAAGGCAACTTTTTTAAAGCAAAACCAGATTTTTTTTTCTTTCTGGATCACACCCGGCGATGCACAGGAGTTACTCCTGGCTCTGCACTCAGGAATCACTCCTGGCAGTGCTCAGGGGACCATATGGGATGCTGGGAATCGAACCTGGGTCGACTGCGTGCAAGGCAAACGCCCTACCCGCTGTGCTATCTCTCCAGCCCCGCAAAACCAGATTTTATTCAGAAGCTTTTGAGAAAGGGGAAGAAGAAGGAGTGAGAGGTGAGCTAGAGAAAGAGTAACACACTCAAGAGAGAACGCAGACTTCTCCAAAGGTAGAGAGAGCCCCAGTACACATCTCAAAAGGTGAAATGTGGCCATCACATGTTCTCTGGCACCATGTGTGCCTGGACACAAGCAGTACATGGGCTTGGACAGCATATGGGCACTCTTCCTTTGTTCAAGATGGCTTTTATAGGGTTTTCCCCAAGCTGTCCCACTTGGGGCTTTCTAGCTAGGTAACAGTCCTTTGCTAGGGTGGTTACCAGGTGGATAGAGTTGGGAGTCGTTTAATGGTGTTCTGTGAAACTCCTTTTCTTGACCTTTTGTTTCTGCTGCAGCTTCTCTTAGAAGGTGGGTTCAGCCTTCTTTGGTCCAGGTAAAGGTCTTTTCAGGCCTTAGTTCCTGAGCTCATAAGGCGGGTCCTGATAGCCTTAGGATTAAGTGGTTATTACTTCCCAGGAATTCCATTGTTATGAGGGCACTTCTGTAACCTACCTGCCTGCCTAGATCATATATATATGTATATATATACATATATATATATATACATATATATATATAAAACAGAAGATGGGCCCTAACATCACTCCAACTGATGTTTCTCTGTACACCCTACCAGTTGGTATATAATTAGGTAAAATCAGGCAATCTTAACCAATCTTAATCTAATCCCTGTATTTTATATTCCTCCCATAAGTCTGAAAATTTAATAGATACTCTGGAAAGAAAACTATAAAGAAAACATCAGTCTGAAAAACACATTATGTGAAAAGAATATAAATAGAAGTCAATCAAAACTAATAGAATATATATTTCTCAAATGCACATGTAACATTCTCAGTAATATATCACATGATAGGACAAAAAACGAGTCTTAAAAAATTTTGAAAGATTAAAGTATCTCAAAAATCTTCTCCAACCAAAATAGCATGAAATTAGAAATCAACCTGTAAGTCAAATGCTTGATGCTGCTCAACTTTAGGGGTTCACAAAAGAAATCAAATGAAATACAAAAAAAAAAAACACATAAAGATCAATAACTGTCACTGTCACTGTCCTCCCATTGTTCATCAATTTGCTCAAGCAGGCCCCTTATCATCTCCATTGTGAGACTTGTTACTGTGTTTGGCATATCAAATACATCACGGGAAGTTTACCAGATTTTGCCATGCGAGCAAGATACTCTTGGTAGCTTGCCAAGCTCTCTGAGAGGGGCAGAGGAATTGAACCCAGGTCGGTTGGGTCATCCCCATGCAAGGCAAATGCCCTACTGGCTGTGCTATCACTCCAGCACAGTGGTAAAAGATCAATAATACATATCAAAATCTTGGAAATACAAGCAGTACTATGAAGCAGTTTGTAGTACTAAAAGCATTATACACAATAACAACTGAAATTTATCTTGGGAATGAAAGTGTTTCAGTGGGAAAAAATCAACAACACAACACAACATACTGGTAAACAAAAGAAAAAAATTACCTCAACTGACACAGAAAAAAATATTTGATAAAATCCTATTATTTTTCACAAAAAGATTAAAAAGAACTTCTTCAGTGTGATGTGAAACAATCAGGAAATTCTACAACTAACATCACATTTTATGGTGAGAGACTAAAAGCTTTCTTTCCAAGGGTACCTGCATTTGCCATTCTAGTAGAGGTTCTGGTCAGAAATTAGCTGAGAAGACTAAGTATCTGGCCAGGAGGCAGAATGCATTTAGGAAATACTGTGGTACAAAATACTATGCTACAAAATAGCTGTCATAGTACTAAAAAAAATCTGAACTAAAATCATTTGATCACCTGGAGGGCCTGGAGGGCCAATGATGTGACAGAATTCAGAATTCAGAATTCAAACCTTGCATGTGTGAAACCCGGGGTTGAATCCCTGGCATACCAAAATGGGGGGGGGGGGGGGGGGGGGGGGGGAAATGATAACAGCTAACACTGTCGTTAAATGAAGGGGATATTTTTTCTCCTTTCCTATCTATCAATTTTGAGCTTTATATAACAGCCTAACAAGTGTAGAAAATAAAAATACCAATATATTCATTTCATCAAAATCACAATCATTTCATCAAATTCACATTTGCCTCGGAAATGTTTAAACAAATCAATAGCTTTTATAATTTTAAGTTATTTAGGGGACTCTTAAAATGTCAATGAAAACCCACAATAAAAGTATAAAAGTGTAATTTTTCTAGTGCTTTTTCCCACTATCCTTTTATTAAACCATTTAAAATAAAATAGCTCAATAAAATTAATGCTAAAATATTTAACAACTTCTGGACTTATTAAGTTTTTTGAAGTATCAGTAAACTTTATGTATTAACAGCTAAGTTGATCAGAATAAAATAACTTATGTAAAAAATTCCCATTTCACTTATCCTGAAGTCCTATCCTGAACATATGTTTCAGAATATTTTGACAGAAAAGGTCTAAAACTATCAATTTAAGCATTACTCTCAAGGGAATAATAAATTGTAATGTTACTAGTAGGATAAACAACTCATTAAAACTCAACTTGGAAAAAATCCAGGATAAATCTAAGGAAATAGAAACAAGTAGGTCTTGACTATGTAGTAGCAAAGGCTGAAAATGACTATGCTCTAATTAACTAATACTTTTTAAAGACTCCGCTTATACCATTTGCTAACAAATTGTGATACAGACCTAATGAAATTCCTGGACCATCTGGTATTCCCACAAAGAATATTCCTCTTGTACAATTCTAAATAGAAACTGGAAGTAGTTCTCACTTATTGATGCAAAGGAATTAACTTAAACAGCCATTCGTGTTCATAGGAATAACATAAAAAATTTTGCCATCCATACACTTGAGGAACAGTCATCCATTCTTTTAAAATCAACACACCTCACAGCAATTGAAAGAATATCCCCAGAAACAGCTGGAACTGAAGATTTATATAAAGTCCCCAAATGCAAAGTTTCAACCTATAAATTGGTTCCAAAAAAGTATTTTTGCTATTACTCATATCCTGCACAGTAAAATAAGATTAGATCACTTTTTCCAAAATAAAATTAATATAAAAAATCACTAATACAACTCAGAAAGTTTAAAAAGCTAGAAAACTAGTTATATATA